CTCTCTCTCTCTCTCTCTCTCTCTCTCTCTCTCTCTCTCTCTCTCTCTCTCTCTCTCTCTCTCCAACAACATGTTGCCTTCTCTTCTTAGATTAAATGTACATTGGAGTCTTAAAAGAATAAAGAGAAATGAGGGTAGAGGTGCCCATGCAGGAAGAAAGCCACCTCTAGAAGGCTCTTTTGAGCTGTGTAACAGCACCGGCTTTCTACAATGCTCAGGTATTAGCATCGCCCCTTTGCTTCATCAAACCCAGCCTGTGGGCTGCCAGGGACTATACTTGACAAGTATACCACTTACCAGGGTAGGGGTATGGGGATTAGAAAAATAAGTAAAGGGAATAAAGACGTGAGTGAAAAAGATGAAACAGAAACATAGGATAGTACCGGGAGGGAGTTCCAGTGAATACTGAAATTCTCGGCGTTTGATTTCCCAGACACTTTTATACCCCAATACAACAGGGGGAAGAAGACAAAAGACTGCTTTAACAGGGTACAAATAGCTACTAGAACAGTTATTAGCTTCAATACTTTGAGCCATCAAATCATTAACATTCTGTTGTTTAGGCCGTGAACCCACCCTAGACCAAGTCTCCTGAAGGCAGCCACTCCCAAGGTCAAACCCCCTTTTCTGAAAGAAGGAGCAGAAGTCTATTTGAAATTCTCTGTTCTTTGGTCAGGGTGGAGTGGATCTACCTGTTAGGGCCAGCTTAATGTAACCACACCCTAGGTTGCATTTGTTGCCAACAACTTTGAACAAGCTAAAACTCTCTGACCTTCAGACAACGTGGTAATAATTTCATATGTTAGGGGCCTCCACAGTGGGCCTTGGGGTTTTCAAGTCAGCTGTTCCCTGCCCCTGCTGCATGTGCAAGTTTCATGGTCCATTCTTCCTTAAAATAGATATTGACACCCACCTCCTAGGGTCTAAGCTAAGGAGGACTCCCAAGACGCCTGTGGCAGAAGGCAATAGAAGGAAGTTGACAGGGAGCTCTGGTAACCTTGGTGACCAGCCTCCTGCCTGTGGCAAGCTTACTGCTCACCCAAACGCTGGTTCTAGACACTAAGTGCCCCCACGAGGTCTCTCTGAATACTGTGTCTACCCCCTGAACTCTACACAGCTGCACTTCTTCCCAGCAGCAGGAGATGCTTCCTGATGCAATTATCTGATTATAGAGATCGGATACTCACCCTGATTCTTTTTATAACCTTAACTCTCCATCTCATTAACATCTCATTAATATTTAAATAAATACCCCAGTTAGCCTTGTACCCAGCACGGGACCCACACCCATGAACTCTGCCTCCTTCCCAGCTGTTTTGTATTACTGTACAACACAGGTTTGGTCCAAGGGATTAAGTTGTCACTAGGGAGGAAGGGGCTATCTCAACAAAGTTTACACTCTTAAATTTCCTTGAGCATAAGAATCACTCAGGAAGTGATTGTACTTAGGGTTCCCAAGGTCAGCAAGGTGGCCCAACAAGTAAACGCACCTGCTGTCCGGCCCACGGGTTGACTTCGGACCTGCACGTGCCCACTGTGGCGTGTGCATGCGCCTCTCCAGCCCCCTCCCTTGCCATACACAGATGCACACAAAATACACAAAAACTTTAATAAACATTTTTA